GAGCAGGTGGGATGACAAGGGATCGGAAGGCAGTTCGCGCAAACACAAAAAACACACATGGACTCAGACCCAGGTCCTTGGTCCATAGAACCAGCCCACTCCCCTCTCCCAAGCACACAGGGACCAGGACCCATATAGTCTGCCCCACTCCATGGAAAAGAAATCAGCTTATTATAGGTTCCCAGCCTGAGGGAGTAGTCCAGGCTGAACAGGGCTGGGCTCCATCCACGTCCGCAACCTTGACAGTGCCCCTTCCTTCACAGTGGGGACAGTGCACGACACCAGTGCTTAAGTCTGCCTGTAAACAGACCTCATGCTTCATTATCCTCCACGTCTGCTCAAACACAATGAGACGGCACTGCCCAGTGACTTGATTGGAAAAAGCACTTTATCTCTGTGGTTTATAAAACGGCTCTAAGAAGCAGCTAGCCAGAGAGCAGATGATAGGTTCAACACAGAGGAAAAGTCACTGAGCAAATGACTAACTCATCAGCTGCAAAGGCTGCCATGTTTGAATGCAGTTCTAACGAACTCCTTGTGCTGACCGCAACAGCTCAATGTCACACGTTGGAATCTTGGAATCGTGCTTCTCAATGTCAGACAGAGTTTGTTCAACACTAAACAGGGAACAAAAACCACGAGGTGGCCAGAAAGTAACCAATTTTACTTTCAAGTAACAATATTGGCTGAAAAGATTACTCACTAATTTATACAAAATCCCTGAGTCCCCCTCAAGGTGCTCCTGATGCTCTGCACTCAGGACACACGAGGGTGGGGACCTGCAGGCCCTGCACCCTGGAGCCACACACAGGAGGAGGAGACACCAGCTGAACAAGGCAGCGCACTGGCACCATGATGAGCACGTGCCATAGACAGAAGTGGGGCTGCAGTGGCTCCAGCTGGCAGGGCAGGCAGTGTCCCTGACAAGGCCACGCCTCAGGCAGAGACCAAAGGGCAGAGAAAGGGAACCGACTGGCACAAGACCCAGCAAGTCCACTCCCAGGTAAGAGGCAGAGGTGAGAGGTGACAGGGACGTAGACTTCCTCACTGAGATTTGTACAAGAAGGGTTACGGCAGATTTATTTTGTAAGGGACAAAAGTCGGAACAAACCCAAGTGCCACCAACTGGTGAATGGATGCACACACTGAAAGGGAAAGGAACTCTACTTGGCAATGAAAGGAAGCGAACTATGGACGCACCCCGTGGACTGAGAATGCCACCCTAGGTTAGCGAAGTCCTCAGCGTGTGTGAGTCCACTCACGTGAAATCCGTGCCTCAAGCCAGGCTCCGGTGGCACATGCCTGTCATCCGGGCAACTCAGGAGGCTAAGGCAGTAGAATCACACGTTCAAAGCCAGCCTCAGCAATTTAGCAAGGCCCTAGGCAACTCAGCAAGACCCTGTCTCTAAAAAATAAAAAAGTGCTGGGGATGTGGCTTGGTGGTTAAGTACCCCCGGAGTTCACTCCCCAGCACCAAAAAAAAAAAGTGAAATTCCATATGTCAGCAAAGCTCTGGAGACAGAAAGCGGATCAGCAGCTGCCAGGGCAGTGGGTGGAGAGAGACTGAGAGCAGAGGAACAGGAAGAAACTGTCAGGGCAGTGCAATCACCCTTCGGTGTGAGCTGGGGGTGGTTACACTCCTGCTCACAGGGGGCAACAGAACTCACTGCGCACCAACTGGCAAGTTTCACTGTGTGTAAATCAGACTTCATCAAAGCTGACAGGAGGAAAAAGAGGAGAGGGGAAGGGGAAAGGAGGGGAGAGAGGAGAAAGGAGAAGTGGAAGAAAGGAAGAGGAGGAGAAAAAGAAGGCCAAGCAAACAACCAAATGGATGGGCAGGCTGGGAGGAATGCCCAGGCCAGAAATCCTCCTTGACCAGGTAGGGCCCAAGCTCAAGTGTGCCCATGACAACTAGAGCCAAACTTACATTTCCCTGGTTCCTGTACAGCTGAGGATCACTGTGTCACTACAAGAAGCCAGTAAGGATACTGAGCAGAAGCCCCAGGAGCAACGTATATGATTGCAAAGGGAGGCAGATGCCCTTCTCCACCCGTGTCTTACCGGACTTCCCTGCCAATAGAGTGAAATGTGATGAAGAGCACTAGGCAGCCAACTTGGACCCTGAGGTTACAGCCAAGCAGAGAGAAACAACCAAATCGCTGGCGAAGGGCCAGTACCGGAGACAGCGATAAACCTCTGTCTTGTGAAGCCACTCTTGTTATGGATTTGCTATCATTTTGCAGACCCGTCTAAACCTTACCGTTACCATGCCAGAAATCATGATTCGACTTTGCCTACTGCCAACACAAGACCAGCATTTCAATACTTTTCCTAAAGCCTCTTTTTCACCATCCTGTCTCCCCACACAAGGCTGCGCTCAAGTCGCCTGGCCAGCACATCGGCCAGCACATCCACCCTGGGCCTGCCTCCCCACTAGAACCCATCTGCCCAGCTTACGTGGCCCTGCTCAGTCCTGCAGCCTGGCTGAGCACAAACCTAGGGCACTTCCATACCCCCAGAGGAGGGCACGGGAGCTGAGACCACTGCCAGGGGAGGCCTTCCAAACCTATAGGGTCGAGGCCCCAAGAGTCATGACAAGAAGCCCAACTGACACCAAGGGGCAGTGAGGCTGGATCAACACTCAGGACAAGAAGCCTGCAAGGGAGGCACCGAGGAAGGAAGAGATACTCACAGACAATCCACGCTGTCTACTTTCATTAAAACACTTAAGCAGCAAAGCGGTCACGATCCATTCTCAGACACCAGGAGCACGCTGGGGCAAAGGACGCAGTGCTCCTGGGGAAACCCCTCTGCTCTGCGTCCTGCACTCCTGCCCTGACAACCCTGGAATTTCCTCTGACAGGCACACCACGCCGACAGGCCACCAACATCAAAAGTGTATTTATTAGCAAAGTCGAGATGCAAAACAAAGTATTTAAAACAATGAAAAAATTCTAATTTTATTATAGAGATACCACTGAGTTTAGCAGCAAAAAATATATGATAATGTGGAATAAATCTAATAAAGCTGATGAGACTATTGAAAAAAATTTTAAACTGCATTGAAAGGCATTAAAATGGCCTAAAAGGAAACTAATATGCTCATAAAAAAGGGAAACTAAACCTCATAAAGATGCCAACTCTTCCAAACAAATCCAGAGAATCCATGCAATGCCAACCACAAATCAAAGAGACCTCAAACACAGGCACACCTTGGCAATCTGACTCCAAGGCTTGAGTGGAAGAGCAAAGAGCGAGCTGCCCCATCCCCGCCAAGGAGGAGGAAGAGGCATGTGCACCCCACCAATGCCAAGACGTCCCAAAGCCATGGCAGCTAACAGGGTGGGGCATGCAGACCTAAAGCCAGCTGAGTATAGGACAAAACAGAGGCCACAGAAGAAATCTATGTGAATGTGACAACGACATACAGCAGAAACCATCAACACAGAGAGACAAGCTGGAGTCCACATCTGGTGCTGGAACTGACTCGTCTCATGCACACAGCTGTCAACTACAGATCAATGAAACACAGAGCTATGAAAGGCAGGACTCCTAGATGGAAAAAAACGGGATGACATCTTTATGACGTATGTGCAGGAAAAGGCTTAGCAAAGCAGGTCAGTGACAGGTTCAACCCCAGGGAAAGTAAGAACTTCCCAGCATTATCTGCCCTCAAGAACAAAGTGAGACATGGCCAACACGGAGGAAGGTATCTGCAATAGAAACCTGCAATGAGGGGTCCAGACACACAAAGATCAACTGCCAGCAACAAATTAGGCCAACAACCCAGAAGAAAAATAGGCAAAAACAGAACAATCATTTCCCAGAATAAGAGAACACTTGGAAACATATGGGGAGATGCCTGGCACAATTAGTAACCAGAGAAGAGAAAACCAGGAGCATGATAAGATTATCCAATAGAGAAACACATACTGAGAGGCCTGGCCACATCAAGAGTCATCAAGGGAGCCGGGCACCGTGGCACACACCTGTCATCCCAGCAGCTCAGGAAGCTGAAGCAGGAGGACAACAAGTTCAAAGCCGGCCTCAGCCACTTAATGAAACCCTGTCTCAAAATAAAAATTTTTTTAAAAAAATTTGCTGGGGATGTGCTCCATGGTTAAACACCTCTAGGATCAATCCCTGGTATCAAACAACAAACAAAAGGTCATCCAGGACCTAGAATTCCAGGAACTCCAACACTCTGCAGGTGACTCTGGTGGCAGAGGGCCCCCCCCCACCCTGCCAGGAACCATGCTGACACTCTCTTCAAAGTGTAACCGACACACACCCAACCTCACAACTGTGTGCCTCTCAAACGCCTTAGAAAAATCCTTGCCTGTGCACATTTGCATGATGGACAGGAAGGTGCCAGCAATGCTGTTCTAAAAGCACACAATTATAAACAACCACTATGTCTATCAAAAGGAAAAAGGCAAAAGAAAGTGTGGGATGTTCAAACAGCAAACATTACCCAACTAGGTACCACAGGTGGGCTGCATCCTACAAACCACCAGAGAAGAGAGCAAGCTGCAGAGCCAGGGCTGCAAAAAGAACACCAAACTCCAAAGGACACCACACTCAGTGACACGCCGCTCTCCTAGGTTGCACCTGTGAAGGAGAATGGATGTCAAGGCCAGGAGAGGGATGAGCACGAAGAAGCAGCCCAACACCTGCAGTCAGAGGCAAGAGCGCAGACACAGTGGTCAACAGCAGCAGGCTCCAGCTCCTAGATTCAGGAGGGGTAAAGAGTTCATACCCATACAGGCATGCCTGTCACACACGTCCTTTTGTATGTGTCACTATTACACAAGAAAGACATCTTAGGAACAATTAGTCATTCCTATCAACAATTGTGCCCACCAGGCCAAATCCCCAGAAACTGGCTGCCCACACGTGCTGATGGGCTGAAGCCCCCCACATGTACCCACTGTCCTGCAAGCAGAGTGAGCATCAAGTCACAGACAGCACAGAGAAACACCCAGCCAGGCTCCTCTTACCTCTGTCACCTTGGGCTGCAGGATCAGTGCTTCTGGGCTCATCCGAGGGATGTCTATGTGGATCTGGAGGTGCAGGAGAAAGACAGGCTTACTTTGGAGGACCACAGACACCACATTACATCATGATTAAAGGTGCCATGCTCAGAGACTCAGCCACCTGGCCTCTTCATCTGCCCTCTGCAAGGGTGTTAGCTCGGCACTGCCGAGTCTTCCCTCTAAGGGTGCTATCCAGAGTTGCTGAGTCCTCCAGAGGGGAGGAAGTCAAAAGCTCATTCCACCTGACCAGGGCACATCCACTCCAGATGATGGACTTGCCCGACTCCTGCCCAACTCACATCAGAAGCTGCGTGAGCAGGAACAGAGCAGGCCTCAGCTCTTAAGTAACATGATCCATAGCAATTAGTAAACATTGATTTTCAGTGTCTGACACAGAGTGATTCAAGTGTATCAATAGTGTGCAGACTTCAGCTGCGATAGTCCCTTTCTGGAACCTAGGCCACATTTTCCTCCTCTTCACAAGGTCCTTGGGGAATCTAGGACATTTTCAAGGGAAGCATTTGGAAGTCTCTGCCAGTGTCGGAGTCCTGCCTGGTCACCATCTGACCAAAGTCGCAGCAACATGCCTGACACTGAAGAGGAGGATGCTGCGGGTTCAAGAAGCCACCAGACAGGAACACTTAGCAGAGCTGGTGTCATCGACTGGCTCCAGCATCCCACATCAGCCTCCAGCCATCACTCCTGTCTCGCCAGGGTAAAAGAGGGAAGGCGCGCACGTCCTACACAGAGCGATCCCACTGCTGAGCTGCACTCCAGCCTTCCTGCCCAGGCCCGCGGAGGGTGCCAGCATGCTGGAGCCTGGGCATCACTGACTGGCCTGTGCCCTGCATACACCATTCAGGCTCTAGGTTCTGCCTCTTCCGGTGGGCTGGCTCCACGCCCTTCAGGAGGTGACTGGTAAAGATCAACATCGAGCTGAGAGGCCATGAGTCAGTGACACACAGGAAGAGACGTGTAGACAGCAGCACCGGGAGGGGACAGTCCACACAGAGGAGCAGCTGGCCACACACAGGGCCCAGGTGTGGGCAGAGACAAGGGCCACTAGGCCTGCTGGCGGGGCAGCCCAAGGGCCATCCTCAGTGCATTGCTCCTGGCATGGCAGTCCTGTGGTCATCCCTGGAATGAGCTCCACAGGCTCCAACGGGACAGAAACCAGGTCTGGCCTGCCTCTGCATGCCCAGGGCCAGCAAGGCCCACCTTCCTGTGGGCCACCAGCAGCAGTGCATACATCAGACCCCATACCCTGCCCATGCTAGAGGAGGGAACCCCACAAAGCAGGTGGATGGGCTGCGTGCGCCCTTCCATACCCCGCCCACTCCCCACAAGCAAAGGCTGGGCAAGCGGTGGGGGCTGCAGAGCTAAGCAGGGAGGGAGAGGCACACAGGTGGACTTTTCAGTCTGACCAGTGCCAGGTGGCCGTGACACACACTAGCAGACCTTGGACGTGCCAGGCCACCACTTCCTGCTGCCCTGCTGAAGCAGGAAGGCAGGCCATGGCACCCACAGGCTGCAGCACCAAGAGTCACCCATCATCCGGGCAACAGAGAAGACAGGACAACCTGCCACACCACACAGTGCTGCTCCCTGTCTATTAATGGGGAAAAGTTTGGGGAATTCAAAATAATAAGGGGTCTTTCATTATCTAACACAGTAAATAAGCAACGATGCGTGCGACCAACATTCCCTTCCATGCTCACAACAAACCCGCCTGGTAAGTCCTGCAAGGACAGGCCACTGGCACTCTTTATGATTCTTTTTCTTGAATAAAAATATAATGAAAACATGATCAGAACAATACCAACTTTATCCATTTCCTAAAACCAGGGAAGCTGAAAAATGAACCAGGAATCCCCTGCCCAACACAATCTGTATTCAGTCAGCAACTCAAGAGTCACTGAGTAGAAGCCCAGAGTGGCCAAGAGCGACTAGAATGAGCAGGCAGTGCGGGTGTACAGGAGGGGCTGGTAGTGCCTCCCTGCTTGGCCTCCAGGGCCTCACTCTTCAGCCATAGCCCCTCCCCGGCCTCCACCATCCTGTTCATGTGGGGATGCTCCCCAAGAATCCACTCAGCCTTAGAACCTTGACTGAGGCCAGACCTGTCTTCAAATGGTTCTGATGATCCACACCACACTGGTGAGAGACATGGGTATCACTCTTGTGCCAGGAGAGACACAGCCCAGCTCCACCAGCCAGGAGTGGCCTCGGGGAGACCAGGCCTTGACCACAGGCTCAGACAATGGAACCAACTGAGGACTGCCATTCTGAACTTCCACATTTTACAAAAAGAGTAAGAATTATAAAGTCCTCAAACAGCCATTCTGACAGCAAATTCCAGATGTGCTGTGAATTATAAATCAATGTTAAATGTTTTCCCATGATGCATATCATCCAAGAACTGACTGCACAAAAAAATGTAATTATACCCATTTTTTTATCAAACTAAATAGCAAAATGATAAACTGGCTACACTTTTGGATGTGCACTAAACTGTGCACCCCAGCCCCTGCAATTAATATACCTGATTATTTAATATGGCTGATTAATATCTCTCTCATCTGCCCATATCTCACCCTCCAGTACCACAGACAAGGGCCACTAGGCCTACTGGCGGGGCAGTAGCTCCACCCCTGACGGTGGGGTCCCTGTCTGGGTGCCACCTGGATCAGGGCCCAGTATGGCCCTTCAGGAGCAGTCTTACCTCTCAGGCAGCAGCCCACCGAGACACAAAACACCCACCATCACCCTAGGGCAGAGCTGGCAGGCACCACTATCTGGATCAAAGACTCTATTTTATGACTCCAATTAAAAACACCCTTTTTAAAAGGGCTGGGGTGGGGCTCAGAAGCAGACCACCTGCCCAGCATGCAAAGGCCCCAGTGGGTTCAATCCCCAGCACCTTTTTACTTTTGTAGCCAGAGCTGGAGCAAGCAACCCTGCCATCAGAGGAAACTGGCCATTACTGTTTTCAAGAGGCATCTGCTTATTAGAAAACAAACAAACATTTCCCCAGACAGAATGTCACCAGATCCAATGCTTCGAGGGATATGGGGAAGAAGAAAGGAGCTCCCACCTGTCTGTACGTGTCCTGGTGAGCTTCGTCATTCCTGGAGTCATAATAGTGCTCGACGAAAGCAAAATATTCTTTCTGTTTTCTCTGGAGAGTGGCAGGTCTTCGGTCCACATTGGCAGGAAGGTAACCCTGGGTGAGGAAAAGACAAACGTATACAGAGGGTCGCTATCATTGAGGGTCTCAATTAAGTGTGAGTAAAAAGACTCACATCTCAAATGGCCTTGCGCTCTGAACCTGACGCAAAAGGGAGGGACTGTGTGAAGAGCCACAGGCAGAGAGGAAGGCAATACCCTCCGTCCCTGTGAGCCCCAGCCAGTCCGCTAGCCAGGGCCGTGGCCCTGATTCATCCCCAGAGCCAGGGAAGCTCCACACCAGGATGGGTCTGAGCTCTCCTAAAGCAGGGCTGGAGGAGCCATGAGCCCTTCTCCAATGCCTCCGACACCTTGAGGAGCTAGGAGCCTGTGGGGTCTCACACCCATATCACGCCACACCCGTGCACACACACCCGAGTGTGTGAGGAACTGGCGCTGCGCAAATTGCACCTACTTTCCAGACTCCTGGGCTCTCAGCAGCTGCAGTCATGATACAAAAATTGGGCTGAACTCAAAATCAGCAAATGCCACGCGGTCCAAGTGGTCACAAGAGCCCTGACTCCAGGGCCAGACTGCTTGGGGTTTGATGTTCTTGGTAGCCTTTTTTCTACATCTTGGATTAACATCATTGACATACAATTTATGAATTTAAAATGTGCCACATTTTAAATACAGTTCTGTGACTCCTCCTCCGGGCCCTGAGGGTCCCTCGGAGAGCAGCTGGGCCTGTGCGGGGCCTCGGGCTAACGACGCTCAATTTATTAATCTTTACGATTAGTCCTTTTCATGTCCACTGCAGGAAAATTTCCTTTTACCCAACCAACACTCCTGGCTCACAGAGTTCACTTTAAAATCAGGGTGGCGTTTCCACAACAGGGCCGGCCACCACAGCCCGCTACTTCTATACATGAGACACTAAGGGGACACTGTGCATGGCAGCTATTCTGCTGCAGTGACAGCGATGCAAGCTGTGGGCGGGCCCCCTGACCCAGGCTGAGACAGCAAGACCACCCTGCTCCAAGACAGTAACCCCACAGCCCGGCCCAGGCTCAAATCTCGCTCATTACTTCCAGCAGTCCAGTGTCCACATCAGCAACGCTGTCTCCTGAGAACACTCCTGCAAGCAAACTGGCACTCAAAGGGCTATGGGTGCCCTCAAGGTTCTTGATGCACTGTTCCCACGGAGCCCTGCTGCAGGTTGTGGTGATGGCACAGCAGGACAGCCCGGCACCAAGGAAGCTCCCCTAGGCCGGCAGCGCATAGAGGGGAGTGCTCTATACCCTCACCTGGGGAGGCGCAAGCCCTCCCACCTGGCAGCTCTGTGCTGACAGAGGAGGGTCAGCAGCACCACAAAGAGTGCAGTGCGTCACAACAGCGCCAGGACAGCATCTACACCAGCCGCCCAAGTATCACCCACTGGTCCCCACAGTCCTGGGCACGCAGAGCCCCTGGGCAGTGCCCTGACCTGCCCAGCACAGCCCTGCCCCATGGAAGGGCCCCAAATGGTGAGGGTGGGGCATTGGCAGAGCTGGTGGCAGATGCTCCTTTGTAATGTCACAGATGGCAGTCCTGGGCCTCAGCCTTCACCCACAGCCATCTTCCCCTCACGCTATTTCAGGTCTGCAGCCTCTCTCTGAGAGCAACAGTTACCTAAGACCCCTGCTCCCTGCCTGTACCACAAGGCCACAGCTAACTAAGGGGCGCCTGGCCACAAGGCGCGACTCAGTCCTCCTTCGGTCCTTCTCAGGTAGAAGGTCATCCCCACTCCTCTCAGCTTAGGAGGCCACATGAACAGGCCAGAGCCCAGCCCCTGTGCTCAGCTAGGGTCGCCTGTGGGGCAAGTCATAGGCCACCGGGTAGTTATGGGGAGTCGGGTGCAGATGATCCACAGAGGATGTGACCAAACACTCTGAGAACCACTTCCTGTGCCCCAAATTCTAACTTGACTTCGAAAACACAGATTCTGAAAGGCAAGTGCATTATCATGAGAGCACAGGCAACAAACTCCGCATCCTCCTGACAGCCCATTCCTGAAGGAACATACATGAGCAAGTTGAGCCTCTCCATAATTAAGGCAGACTAGAAATTATGCAAATGAAATATATTTGAGTATGCAATGAATTCTAAATGACAGAACTACAGAAAACTTAATTGCTGTATTACCATGCTATAAAAACACTAATCATAAATGTAAAACAATGCATGCACACACTTATATCCTAAATTGTTCCAGGGACACAAAAATCCACTTGTCCCCTCCCACCATGTCCATGTGCAAACCTGCCTCAACATACAGAAAGGAGGTAAGATGACATGGAGCTGCACTTGTCATTTATAACTATCACACTCAATAGCATAAATGTTAAATGCTTAATTACTTTTCTGTTAAATGTTTCTGAAACATTTAAAAAGAGAAAAAATATGATTCTCTACAGCACTAGTGTGTGAAAAGGTGCTACACTGCTTGCATGGGATTCAAACACTAAACAGCATGACTGAAGCTTTGGAGATTCAGTGGCATGCTCCAGACAGAGCACACCTGTGACTTCCTTAAAAAATACAGAAGCCATGCATTCTCTGCTGAAGCCACATTTCCATTGATTCAATAAAACTGCGCTCCTCCATGAATACCAGGATGGTGCTAATGACCAAGGCAGACATGATGAGCAAAGGTCATTCGTATGTCAGGCCTCGAAGGAGGTCATAGTCCAATACAGCTTTGGTCCCCTACCTTTCTGAAGTGGACATATGTAACTTCTTCATGATTCTTCTTGACTCCATGTGCCCCTTCAGCTCTAAGTCCTGGCAGGACTGAGTGCTTGGGGTTGACCGCTGCCACCTGGGCATGCAGAGCCTCTGGCCAGTGCCCTGGCCCTCCCAGCACAGCCCTGTCCCATGGAAGGGCCCCATGGAAGAGCAGGACTGAGTGCTTGGGATTGACCGATGCCACCCCACCCACTCACTGGCCATCCAGACAACCTGCGCAGGGCTCCCAGCCAGTCTCACTCACCTACCCCTGCTCCCCCAAACACCCCTGCACCGCCCAGCCTGGCCCTCAGCCAGGCATCACAGACCTAGTGTATGCTGTCCTCAGTGGGGCCACATGGCTGACAGAGCCCAGCTCTCAGCCAGCTCATGCGCTCTGGTCCTGTCTTCCTCGGTGGAGTCTGGGTGCCTGGAACAGTGGTCTCTAACCCTGGACACGTGAGCAGCCCTGGGAGCCTAGGTATCAGTGTTTCCTGTGCTCCTAGGTAATACTGACACGCAAACAGAATGGAAGAACCACAGGTCAAGAACCTGCCAAGTTCTCCCAGACCTGACGCTTGCCCACTCTGGGGCAGGTGCACTGCAGACACCTAGCTCACAGCACGCAGGAGTTGGTGCACACCTGACACCTGGACCTAACCCAGATTCCACTGTTTCATAACCCAGATGACAGGGTCTATGACGGCTCCCAGGGAAACAGGAAGCTAGGCTGAATCCTTGGGATTCAGGGAATGACCAAGAGACAGATTGCCTGGGAAAGACCCATTCTCTAGACTTCTACAGATTCGATTTGTTTGCTAGGTTCTCCCCCCAGAACTCTCCAAAATATCCTTGTGATCCCAGATCTGCAAGAGCCCTTTCAGGCAGATATGTGAGAGCCGCTTGCTAAATCAGGAGTAACTAACATCGTCCACAGGCCCCAAATGGTGCTTAGTCTGACTGTGCCTATGGGAAGGTCAGAGGAGGTTCCTGATCAACACTGCAACAGTTCTGATCCCCTCCACCTGCCCACTGCCACAGCTGACAAGCACCCCTCAGCCATAGGGTGGGCTCCCTTCCAGGGCACCTGAATCCAGGCAGCACACTGCACCTGGGACTCATTCTCAGCAGAGGCACAACCAACACACTGGGCCTCCTGTTCCATTCTGTAAGACCACAACTGAGGCCTTCAGCTACTCGACTCCCTTCTCAGCCCTCCTCAGTGGACCTGTCCGAACTCTAACCCCTCCCAAGACCCAGTAGGGAGCAGCCTCCCCTTGCCCCCCAACACAGCTCCCCGCTGCCACACACTAGTCCAGACTGCGTGGTGAGGGCATCACCTGCTCAGGGCCCAGGGGACTGTATTCTGTTTCTGTGGGAGCCCATGTGTGTCTAGTCTGGCATGCATTGAGCACTCAATAAAGGAATAAAGGAGCAGATGCAGGTCGAGCAGTGTGCTACGGACACAGAAATAGGTCCTGCAGGAAGGGACACCCTTCTGTGCAGGAAGACTTTGGGCCAGCCTGAGGAACAAAATGGTGGCACTCCTGCTCTGCTCTACAGGCCCCAGGGCAGCCAGGACTTGATCTTTTTCCCTCCTGATGTTCCCCAGCACCCAACCCAGTTCCCGGACATCCAGACCTCAGCAAATCTCCACCAAACGACTGGATGAATCAATGAAAGGACATTCCAAAGCTTCACCTTCCAGAAACAGCCTCATTACTCCGGGCTCAAATCCTTTAGGATAAAGCCCAGGCAACCTTCAGGATTTGGGGGACAATGATGCACTTCGCCTCCTCCAAGTTCCACTATCCTGGATCCCATCACCTTGCCTCCTGCTGGTACCTGAACTGGGCAGCTTGCCTCAGCCTTTGCTGTCCACCTAACCACACCCCTAAGTCTCATGAGCTCCCTGTCTCCCTCACCCAAGCCACACTGGCATGCCTCTGAGATGCCACATAGGCACCCCACTGTCCCAGAAGCCTTGCCTGCATTCTTGAGAGCCTGTGCTCCTCTAGAACCATGCCCCTTCCCAACCTGACACCTACCTTGTTCTCAGCTGTCACTTTAGGCCCAAAAGAGGCCTGAGAACTATCCTGTCCATCTCTGTCCCTTCTGCCAATGAGTCTTCCCTCCCTGCACATTTCTGCAAATCTGCAGTGGCCTCAGAGCTTACGCTGTGATGTCTCCTTGCCCAGGAGGCTGGCCCTACGCACTCACACTGACCCACCACCGGATCCCCTGCTCTTGACAGTCACTTGAGTCCTACACATCCAACAACCCGTCACCCCAGGCTGCACTGGATCTGCCCCACCACGAGGGTGCACCCCGACTTTCTCCTAGTGGAAGCTGTGTCCGAATCAGTGACAGTTAAGTAGCTGTGCCTACGAAAACCTAGGTTTTCTCTGGTCTACACTGCCCAGATTTCCGTGGACAGACCCCCACATCTACTGCCCTCCCACACCCACTGACAGGGTGCGACCACCGACATCTGCTGCTGCTGCTCCTCTGCCAACTGACGCCCAGTGCACAGCTCAAAGGATCAGGGAATCAAACCACAACCCGCACAGAGCTAAAGGACAATGCAGTACACAACAACTCCCATGACACCCCCCAGGGAGCATGTCCTTGATAAACACTAAGTGGCAATAAGGATATTCAAGGTGTTTTCATAAGAACTTGCCACAAACTAATCTGAAGAGCTGATAACCTCTCTTGGAAGGTATTTGGAAAACTGGATATACACCTTCAAATAAAAAAGACAAAACAAAAATATAAGCAATCACAGCAGGTCTAATTTTAATTGCAAGAGAATATTTAATCAATAAATATTCACTGTTCAGAGCTGCATCTGCATTTAGGATTATGAGGTACTAAGCTGCAAATTTATTAAGACTCATTAGCAAGAAAGAGTCTTTTAAACACTGAAAGTCAGACCCAATTTAGAGTAGACACTTAGAGTTCCCTATTGACTTATCTCCAAAAACAATAAAAAAGGAAAACAGAAGGAAGCTGACTGGAAACTGCTCTGAAGCTCTGGGCAGGGCCCCACACACACAGACTTGCTGCCTTGAGCCGGAGAAGGACGAGCAGTCCGACTGTTGCAGAAGGGCCTCAGCTCGGGTACCATGGAGCCAGCTGAGGGTGGGACACCAGTCTTCACTCCAGAACATGAACTCCTCCTAACATCGGCTTGGGGGGGGGGGGGGCCTAATAGCATTACTAACACTTAAAAGGAAACACTCGGGGAAACCCACTGCTGTTTAGAGTTCTCAGAGCTGAATCATCTGCACCACAGATGATTCGCCACATCGCATGATGGAGCAGATGATGATGAATTTTTACAAAATGAAAATCAGAGAAAAGACATACTGCCATTCCCTCCTCGCGTCCTGCCAGCCTGGTCAACTCAACCTTCAGATTGGGCAAGGACTGGACAATACCACCTAGCAGAGCAAAGCCCTATGCCATGTACAGCTGCAGCAGGCCTGTGGTGGACACGTGAGGGCCATGCTTCGGCCAGCTGGGCAGCGTGCCTCGGGAGGAGACGAAGTGGCTGAGCAGGCGGGCGGCAGAGACTTACTGAGAGAAGCTTCCACGTAATTGGACGAACTGGCTTAGGGATTCCGGACCAGCTCAGCTTCCGTAATTCCTCTGTTGACAAAAAAAAAGGAACAAGGAAAAACAGGGTTTACAAAGGGTCAAGACCTCCCCGTGCTTAACTATCCCACCTGTGTGCACAGGGCAGGGAGCAGCCCTGGGAGGGAGGAGCTCAGGGCTCTGCTGTTCTCGACATGCCAGAGCAAGGGTGTCACCACTGTTCTTGGTCACACACACACGCCACTTTTATGCACTCATGTCCTGAAGAGGATGTGTTTGCAAGTCACACCTGAGCATCCCTGGAGCTGCCCTGGACAGGACAGGCCCGTCCTCCCACTGTGTGGTCATTGAAGACCTGCACACCAGCCTCCTACCTCTCCTCGCCCCCTTCCCCGGCCCCACCTCACCCCAAGCTGATCCCCTTAGAGGGCTCCCTGTCTCCTCTCCCTTCCCTGTAGCACCCCACCTCTCACTTTTAGGCACCTGCACACAGTGGCTTTCTTAGTATGGTTTTGACAGAATTTGCTTCTTGGAGATAAGCTTGTTTTCGCATAGCATTAAAAAGGCATAGCCATACTGTACACAGCCAGGACAGACTGACCCTCACCAGAGACGCTTCTACAACACTCACAGATGAGGAGAGTCAGGAGCAGGAGTGGGGCCAGAGTCAGGCCAGAAACAGGGGCCTCAGCCAGGACAGAGCACTCAGGGCCACAGGTGAGGGCAACAGACATGCCAGTTCTGCATCCACATGATGCCCCTTTCATATGCCCTGAGCAGCCAGAGCAGGGGGTCAATGTGCAGGAGATTCACACCTGTCCAACTCCACAGAGTCCAACACAATTACTTCCTCCATTTAAGTTAGCAATATTCCATTAAGGTCTTCTCCTAACAGCTCAGAGCTAGGGATTAACACTAGCAATAAAAGAATCGATTACAGAAGATTTGGGCAATATAATCAACAAAATACAACGTCCTGGCATCTCATCTTTTCCCAATTACTAAAGTCTATGTAAAGTAGGTACCAAATAATTGGGTGGCAGTTCCAGCAATGACGTGCATTCACAGCAATCTCAGAAAATACCAAATCTTCCCCTATTCCCTAAGGACACTATGAAAAACAGGAGCCTAATATCTGAACACCAATAACATAGTGTTTACCAATCATGTTCCCAGTGCCTCTCCCTTTGCACAGCCCTGGTTGTCTGATTGTGGATTACGAAGAAAGCACAGAGAACTCATTTATTAATGTTCTCTGAATCTGTCGCCTCATTAGAAGCAACTCTCAAGAAGTCAAAATCTTGAATATACAGCATGAAACGAAGTTCTAACTTGGTTGAAGCTTTAATGTTTAAAGAGAGGTGTCACATATATTATCTTATTCAATCCTAGAGCAGCCTGAGTTACCTAGCGCTGTGCACCACTGTAGTAGCCTCAGAGAGGTTAAGTGACTTGACCAAGGGCACACAGGAACTAAGTCACCTTCAATACCAGGATCTTTCCACTGCTTTAACTCCCATTCTTAAAAAGACTTTGTAACACAGACAAACCTCACTTGTGAATACGGATAAAAAGATCAAAATAAAAATCTTAGCAGATCAAAACACAGCAGGCTATCCAAAGAATAATACACATAGGCAGGATTTACTCTAAGAATGAAGGTGGTTCAACATAAGAAGTCCTGCTGCTTCACCTGGGAGCTGAAGCTGCCTGATGGGGAAAGTCGTCATTTCTAACTGGATACCCGTGACTTCCAGCCAGGGGCCACTCACCACCTTCCTAGAAGAACACCAGCTGTGCAGTGACCACTACTCCCCCCACCCAGGACAAGCTGAGCCCACCCAACCCTGCTCCAGAGGTGCCCCTGATTAGCACCTGCTGTGGCGCCAAGCCACCCTCAGCAGGGGCGGATTCCACGATGGCCTGGCACCCCATCCAAGCCCTGGGCAGAAGGTATTTTCACCAGGGGCTTCCAAGGAAGCTTCCCTTGCCCTTGGCAAGTCTCTGGAAGCAACCCCTCTGCCTTCCTCTGAAAGCTGCTGGGCTCAGACTAAGGCCCAGGACTGCTGCAACAGCTAGGACCTGATCAGCCTGAGGACAAGGCCAACGAAGAGACGGAGGCAGAACCTCGAGAAGCCAAGATGTAGAAGTCTGAGTTCAGTAGGTGCCAGACACAAGGAATTTCCCAAGTTGACAGCTTTCCTCTGTGGGCAGCAGGAGAAATCGAAGTGTCATGGGCATGAGCTTGACAGAACCACACAGGCCCTTGTGAAAAAACAGGAGTTAGGGCAGCTGGCACCGACACCCATGAGAGACACAGCTCTGAATCAAGCAAAGGTTTTTGACACAGAATATCTGCCAGACTGCCCTCTGCAAGGTGCAGCAGCCTAAGACCTAACAACACCAGGCCTCAGGCAGAGTCACACACGGGGACATCGCCAGGCTCAGGGAGATGGAGCATTTGCAGCACACAGGCCCTGGGCCAGAGGAGCACCAGGTGACACCTAACTCGGCCCGCAGCCTGGGAGGCCTTATGCTGGGCAGCCTGTGCTCAGAGCTCACCTTCTTCCCCAGGACGGAGCAAGTGTGAGCTCAGAACCACACGACTGCCAGAAGAACGGGCAGAGGAGGTGGTACATGGGCCATTGCACATGGTCAGGAAGGTCAGGAGGTCTCTCTGCAGAAACGGCAACTAGACAAGACCTGCAGTGCACAGCGGTCTCCTTGAGAAGCCCAATGTAGAGGGCAGCAGTACAAGAAAGACGGAGGCCAAGACATTCAGGGCAAAAATCAAGACAACTCACAGGAGGCCGGACAGGCAGGCGGCTCGAAGGCTAGAAACCAGAACGTAACCAACGGTCTGTGCCAAGCCAGTTCACACTCCAATGGGACTCGCTGCACGTGTTCTGAAACTTGACAAGTGTATCCCAAGTTCACCAAGCAGAATAGGGACATGAAAACATCCAATAAAGTTCCCAAAAAGAGGAAAGAAAGCAGCCTTGAGTAGCAGATAAAGGACTCTGTGGCAGAGCTACAGCAATTATAACTACAGGACTCTGGGAGAAGCCAAGGAAGCTGCATGAACGTTCAAAACCATACCTACACATGCAGGAGCACCGGATGCCATTCAAAGGGTACCTCAAGTCAGGGGGCACCGACCAATGGTCTTCCGCCAAGATGGATTTGTTTTCAGAAACGATACTGGGTCACTAATCCTACCAAACAAAAACTGATTTCTAAATGATTACTGTATTCCACTGCATAATTGCTGCATATTTGATGCCAAATATTTTTGCAAAAGAGGTGGGGTGCAACCATTATGTGAAGCATATTTTTTTTTAAAGTGCCAGTATTACTTAAAAATCACGAAATACTAACCTGTCTTTTGAGCAAGGCTAGGATGCGTGCAATACCTGTGACTACACATTAATGAATGGCAATGATGATGTGGGGCAACAGGGTAAAACCCTAAATAGGCCCATGTGGAGGGGCACGTCTGTGTAAAGGAAGATAACAATACTAGAAGAAAATGTGAGTGATCTTGCCACCCCCAGGCAGGAAACGCACTCCTAGGCAAGACACAAATCTCACAATCTATGAAGAGATTCTCAAACTAAGGATATAAAAGTTCAAAAGTGACTGTACCGCAAGACACTACAGTGTTAAAACAACAAATGACAAGTTTGAAACATTCAAGCAGCGTATAAAAAGTCAAAAAGCACTAACATACAAAGAGCACATGTTAAGTAAAAAAAAAAGCCCCTACAAAAAGGAAAGGAAATGGAAATGACGAAAGAGCATAACAAGAAAAAGACACTGTCCTTGATGGTGACCAAAGAACCACAAATTCAAACAAGAAATCTGTCAGACATAAATTGGTAAGACTGTAAGTGACAACACCCATCACCGACAGCACCCTGGGTCAACAGCCACTCTTTTACAGGCAGTGTCTACACTGGTAGGCCCGTTGTGTTGGTCAACTCTTGAAGGTCTATAATCTTTGAGCAGCACCTTTACTCCAAGACGCCTACTCTACAGGGACATTTCCTAGAGTATGCAAGGACTATACCCAAGGATGTCACTTGAGCACTGTCATGCTGACAGCATTAGAAGCAGCATTAGCAGGGATGCGACTGAAATCCTATTATATCCAAAGCCTGGAATACAGTATTGCCATAGAAAAGAAAGGTATTTTTCGCATGGGTATAGAATAAATGCATCTAATTACAAAGTAAAAGGAGAATAATTGAGAAAAGTGAGCAGAAGCACTGAGAGTTTCTGCAGCACCACTCGCCTCAGAGAGGATCAAGGAAGGGAGTCAAGGCCAGGAAGACTCCCCTGCACCGGGCGCTCTCCCCTATCTCTACAAAGCTATGAACTTCCCGCAGCAGGGAAGTTCAGGGAAGTTCTACCCCTCTTCACCAGGTTCTCAGTCTCCAGCGTTCTGGGCCCAGGCTCAATCCTAGCTGATCTAAGGCACTGATGGTTCCTGCCCTCCCCCCTCTCCCCTCTCCCATGGAACTGACCCCTGCCACCTGCAGGGCTGTGTCCTGAGCACGGGCTGGTCTCCTGAGGCACAGCAGGAGCTCCTGGAGATCAGAGTCCACGCTTCTGCTGCCCTCCACCCTGACATGCTCCCTTGGGACTGCTCCATAGTAGGAGCCAGGAGAGAAAGCCCAATGGTCCCCTGCCTGTGGGAGGCAGGTGGGCTGTGGCTGGCTGGGGGAGCTGTTGATATGTTAAACTGAAGTATAATCTGCATACAACAGAAATACTAAAGTCACCCTGTCGACTGGAATATTCCTAACTGCCTTTCTAGTGACCCCTGCTCCCACCCTGAGCTAACCACTTTCTGGCCCCCGTTGACACAAGTCAGCTTGCCTGCTCTCCTGACTCATGCAGGGTAAGTCCTACTCACTGCTCAAAATGTGTCTGCCAAAGCCACACGTGTTGCAGGTTATCAGTGGTTCATTCTTTGAAGCAGACTCGGCACTCTACCGTACACACGTACCACAGTATGGCCACACATTCGCCTATTCCTAACATCTGAGTTA